AAAGCACATGCAGAAACCTAATTCCCCTGAATTGGACGAGTCTAAAGATGTTCAACTTAATTGATAGTTAAACAGTACTCAGACTGATATGTACAATTAACAGTTACCAAATTGCAATGGAAACGGACCGATTAAATGGCAGTACATCATTTAATTATTTATTCATTATAAATTTGTTAGCATTAAAACAACACCAAATGATAGTTTTACAAACTTAGGGGGTAAATTCATATTTTTGAATCCAACTTTTCGAAATAACGATTTCTTATTTAATAAATGAGGCAATCAAAACCCTATACAGACCTCATTTATAACTGACCAATGAATATTCTGCACAACAACGTCTTGTTATATATATTTGATGTTTTTAATCTGTCAGTAATCATGAAATAGATTCGTAAAGACCAGATCTTAGAAAACAGTAAGTAAATTCTTCCAACAATTAACTTTTTAAACTGCTTGCTTCAGAATTTCTAATCGAACAGACCAAGATGTATAAGGCCCTTCACAATATTCATCCGGTAAATGTTCATTTTGTTTTTGATTCTGTAATTTGCCAACACTACGTTACATGCGAATGCAAAATAATTAGTGTTGTCTGTTCAGTCCAATTAATTAATAGATCTTGCTTGTTTTGTTTGTTTTTTTAAATAAAAACTATGCATGCAAACTTCATTGAATAAAATCGTATTAAAAAACCTAATTGTAACATATATAGCATCAACAAGATTTCACTGGTCAGATCAAAACGTGTTGAGTTGAGATATTTTCGCAAGTTCAATGTATTATATGAAAACAAACTCTTTTATGCTAGTCGTCCGTTATTCCCTTTTCTTGTCTAAATGAAGCAAAAACACCTGAAAAAAAAACTTTATCTTTCTTAGTTTTATCCTTGCCTGACAAAAAATCATATGTTATAAATAGTATTAAAACATTAAATAAGAAGCATAGTAAAAAGTATATAAAACTTTTATAAGCAGTCAGTAATGTAATAAATTGAAGAAAAAAAAAACCCCAAAAAACATAAAATTGTACATTATAGCATTTTACAAGATCTTGTCTTTGTGTGCTAGGTACATGGAACAATTTATGAAGTTGATTGATTTTTGATTACTTTACGTCCAGTGGCAAATATTTCATGCATGTTCATCACTATAACAAATAGATTTAAATACAATAGGTAGGTCGTGCAATAGGAGGTCAACAGTGAGGTTGGACGTGAAACTTTAAAATGCCACTGGAAAATGAGGGTATATTGAATAAGGACAAAAATTTAGACTTGCAACAGCTGGCCACATTCGGACCACTCAAATAAATGGTGCAAGAGTTTTTAATTTGCCGAGAGCGTTGATCCATGAAATCTTCTCTGAAGTCGATCATCGATGTTTACGTGTAGTTTGAAATATCATTACACGCATCCAATTTATGTTAGATACTTTTAGCTCGCTTTAGTAACTGTGAGAATTCTGTGAAACTGTTTTGTTTATTGTACTTGATTTTTTTTTGGTATGATATTCTGTACTACCGCTCTCCTGGTTGGTCTCGTGTGAGGGTGTTCGCCTCGAGAGCAGGAGGTCGTTTGTTCGAATCCCGACCGGGCAAAACAAAGACGTTAAAATTGGTATTTGGTATTTCAACGCTAAACACCTGTAGAAGAAAAACACTTCACTGTATAATATAACGGTAAATAAATGATGATAATGGATGACGACCAGCGGCAAATAAAATGAATATTCAGGACGATAACATGTTAATATGATTATGAGTATTAACCCCGCTTTTTACTAGACTGACACGCTGAGTCGGTTTTTTTTAACGTGTAATTTTACAAGATAGTTCGCAGTAAGAAAAGTCACCCGACCCGGACACATTTCCGACTCTGAGCCGACCAGTCTGTGCTCTTACTCTATGATGCCAGGACTGGGTTGCACAGACGTCTATTAAAGTTAATTGTCTATTAACTAAATAGACGTTTTTGCAACCCAGTCCAGTCCTGGTTTATAGTACAACTTCTTAAATTTTCACCGATCAAAATTAAAATTGGGCAGGTGAAATTTTTCAACCAAACACTTCTTGTGATTGTTGGGATACCTTTAACGGTAAATATTATTGAATTAACTCCGTAATCCCTCGTATAACTATTATTTTGTCATGGAGCGGGTTTGAGCTTTTTATTCTGTATACGCATCTTTCTATAAAATCTGAATGTTGAATCTTAATGTTTTGATTTGTCTGCGTCTTTGGATTGCTGTCGCTTTAATGTATACCTTTATATCCCTTTATTCAAAACAAAATGATTCACTTGGGTATAGAGATATTGACATGTCTGGACCTCTCCCGTCCCACAGTATACCCTTGGGTGCGTTCGTTTGGCTTATCGGATATATAAATCCGCAGCTTTGTCTGATCGAAATAGGAATGTATTTCCGATGACTGGTGTAGTGGGAATTTCACGCTATCTATACGTTAAAAACATAAGAGGGAAATACGATCTACGCACGAGTTGAATGATTGAAATGTGTAAACAACAAGAAAGATCGGCTTAATCTTTTCAAATAAGTCGCATGGCTGATTTTAACACATTTTTTTGCCACTTTTGCAAGGACACAGTCAGGATTCAACTTCGTCAAAATTATCTCCCCATTACGCCAGTTCATTTTTACAATTGTAAAAATGGAAGCCATTGTAGGGATGACGCGCTGCCAATTTAGCTCTTGAAAACCGATAAATTTATCCGCATAGCACCATTACGATCCTTATATGCCAGTTGTATTTTAAAAGACAAATGTATCTACTAGCTAATGAGTATCAGTTAATGTAATTGTCTGCATTCAGTCAACTTAAAACTATTGTCTGATCGGTTGTCAGGTGGAATTTTCGAAAATTCATAAACATTTAAAAAAATTCTAATTCAATATTTCGTGGAAGGGCAGACTAAAAATTTTCAGTCGTTGAAGACTATAAACCCTAGATATCACACACAAAAAATGAAGTTTTTTCGAAGATATGCATTTTTAAGATCCAACTTAAAAGTCTGTCGTCAAGTACTTTTAGTAAAAATTTGCTATTCGAACACACCTACTCTGTTTTTGTGATTCATTAGAAAGGTATTTCACTTGACCTATATATTTCATTTTTTTACTACTGTGAATTTTCGATGTTATAAAGTCAACCTGTAGCCTTGATATATAAAAATGATAGAATCTGAAGCGAGATGATGTATCAAATACTTTTGCTTTTTACGTTTTCAAGACAAAATATTCAACTCAAACACGCCCTAACATAAAAAGGTGCACTCGATTTTGTCTTTTCGATGCAATTGTTACCCATTTTTGGGAATTTTTTCATGAGTCACATAATGGAAGGGCAGAAACGAAAATTAAGGAACAAATAGATTGATATGTTCTCCGTCCGTGGTAAATTTTTTTGAAAAATCGGAGGTTATGCATTTTTTGGATCCAACTTAATAGACACCCATGTCGTCGACTTGATATCTAATTGTTCTGCTTAATTATGTAATAGATAAATTGAAAACTTATGCAAATTGTGTTTTTATGATAAAATATTTCGTAATTTAGCAAAAAACTGTCATTTTATTTGTTTCTATTAACTTTTAAAATTTGTGTTACTACAGTAAACATTAAAGTAATCATTTATCGCCTTCTCTAACAAAGAGCTTCGATTCTTTTGTTCTATTTCAACTAGGTTTCCGCCTGGACAATTGTAGATGAAAAACATTTAACAAAACCGATTAGCAAGACATTATCTAAAAAAAAAAAAAATGAAACGCTCAAAATAAGTTGAATCCTTATATAAATTAATGTCAACATTTTTTTTTATCCATTTGCTTTTATGTCAACTATTATACCAGTCTGAGATATAAATAAACTTTAAACAGCAAATGTTGTCACCTAGACGAGACAGTCGTCATTGTACGCTTCAATATAAGAGTTATTGCCACTCAATGAAGATTGTTTTTCTGTTCTGATCCCCTCTCCTATTAGTTTTGCTGGAAAGGATACAATGTAACCCCTGATGTGTACTACGACAACGTTTTTTAATGTTAAAAAAAAAGATTAAATGCAAAGAGAAAAATGATGAAGGAAATGCTAAGATTTACGCTTAAAAATGCAAATGTAAATAAAATTGAAATATATAAAATTAGGAAAACTGTTAGAGACAATTATCAACTGAAGACAAATGATTATACATCACTAAATGAAGCTGATAAATTAATTGCTCCATTAATGTACAGTGGCAAATATGTTATGCATATTCACGACGAGTGGATCAACCTGAAGCAAATGATTACAATTTTAGAGTGGTACTATTTACAATAAGGCAGAGCGTTCGATTGAGGTAAACGTATGCCGTAATAGAATACAGTTGAACCATGGTCGAAGTCGTAAGTTATGCCTCGTTCACACGTTGATTTAAATCGAATGTGAATCGAATTCGCTAATCGCGTTCACACACTCTTCTTTTTTTATTCGAATTGATTCGAATTGGCTAATTCGCATTAGCCAATTCTCATTACAAATACGTTTTTGTTAATACGAATTTTAAAAAAGGTAACGTCGTTCAGACAGTTAAGCGAATTTGACGCGCATTGCAATTCGAATTAGAATATACGTTCGGACGTAAAACGTTTCGAATGCGAATTAAACTAATTCGAATTAGTTAATGCGAATCGAATTCGAATTACGTGTGAACGCAGCATAAAACTATTAGCCCTTCTCCTCTTTTTTTTCCACGGTAGACGAATGTCAAAAACAAAACGTCATGCATTTACAATCAATAACGGCCACTATAAGTAAATGAGATATATGAACTTTTTTATAAATAAATTCCTATTGCAGCCAACATCTCCCGGTTCGAGACAGGTTAGTATTTCCACTAAAATACCGTTTGATTATTGACCGGAGATATTAAAGCAACCAAAAGTACGTTGAATCAAAAAAATTCTAAAATTGTAAATTATGGTATTTTGCTGGGTGTTTTCCCGATCCTATTTCGGACCCCCTGATTTTAAGAGGGCGTATCTAATTAGTCATGCCAGATTAACTTTTAGTAAATTGAACCTCAACTTAAAGACCTACACCGGGTAAATAAGTTCGAGGTAAAATAAGTAGACAATAGAAAACCTTTGTGAAATGAGATCGTCCCAGTCTAGGTTAGTCTATGGAAAGGTATATACTATGAAATTTAGAGCGAGGGGCTTGCTCTAAATTTTTATTCTTTAGTAAACATTAAATTTTGTTAACAAGAAACTACAACATAGCGTTCTCTTTATTTACACCCCAGTTCTATTGTTATACTTCATAGTTTCTATTTCTGAAACAAGTGTAAATTGAATAGATCTATTGTTACGAATAACAAAGGATTTTGACCACAGGGTGTGACGAGCGGGGTTTCTGGAAACCCCTGCTTCTACATCCCGCAAACAAAGTCCATTCTTATTCGTAACAATAGAAATTTATTATTTTTTAAATAGCATGAACATAAGAAATTACTAATAGTGTTCACCATGTTCACTACAAATTGTTTCAAGATATTAAAAAAAAAAACATTTTAGGAAATAGCGAAAAAAAATTAAGCATATATTTTGAATACAAAAATAATCCTTTAAATACTCCTTTGATTGAAGGTATTTTTTTTTATCCCAGTCATACGTCTCTATTCTAAAGCATTAGTCTTTAAAAAAATGGGGATTCTAACTCCCGGGACACCCCCCCCCCTTTACGGTTACCCATTGGCCGATCTGGGGGTGGGGGTTCCGAGGTTTGGACCCGACTTTTATTTAAAAGATCAATGCATTTGAATGGTTGGACCCCCCTTTTTTCTCTTGAGTTGGGAACCCCCAGCTTGATCAGCCCCTGTTTGCCCCCAAAAAGGGAGTTCCTAAATATTAAATCTGTATCTTTGTTGAGCGTGTCTGGTAGTCTGGTCACACCTATCCCTTAGTATGTCCGAATATGAATGTTTATTTATTCTCGAGAAGAGGGAGGGGGGTTATAAATCCGTAAGATATAAAATACAGTTATGATTACCTTTATTACACTGATACAGGTAAGTACTTTGGGTTATAGTATTGCTTTTATCTTAAGTCTCTTCTACCAAATCCAACGCTTGCCGCAAAATGTCGTCCGTCTTATACCCGTCCATATTGACAACTGCATACAAGGAGCATGATGTATTTTTGTTTGTTATAAGAATACACGAAACGGTCAACCTTGACCCGCTGATCCGTTTTAGTACATGGATTTAACGGGAATATGCAAAACAACTTTGACATTTGTAAAATATAATCACTTGTCAAAGTTTGAACAAAGATACCCTAAGAAAGGTTACTAGTGGGGTTTCATGTAATAAAAAAAAAATTCTTATAAATCATGGTTTGATATTGTCAATAAATATGCTATCGGTTTTTTTTTCATTTAATAATCAGTGTTAAAAAATATGGGGTATAGAATGGGGTGTAAGTTAGTTATACACCTCGGGATACGGCGTGTCTGGATAAGAAACCCCTCCGGCCTCCGGCCGACGGGGTTTCTTATCCAGACACACCTATCCCTCGGTGTATAACTATTACGTATATGCTGGAGACACTGACATAATTTGGAGCTTGCCCCGAGCTCTTAATTTCATAGTATATACCTTTTCTTGTACGACTTTGCCCCCAGCAGAGCTATAGAAAAACAGTACATTAACGGGTGTTACACGGACACTTTTTAGATAATACACGGACACTTTTTAGTTGTTACACGGACACTTTTTATGAATAGAATCACTAGTGCGTGATCAGTGAGTTCATGGGCACTTTAAATTTCAATTAGATTTGAACTTTTTGTTTCACCGACATATTTCTTGTCTTATTCATTAAAATATTTACGTTGGCATCAATAACTATATTTTTTTCAAACAATTCCAGTATATTACTATTCATATCAGTACACTAAGGAATTGACCATTTAACTTAAAAAGGGGAGTTATGTTTTTTCCTAAAAAAATATTCTGATCCCCAATCAGCTTATGAGAAAAATTATATTGTGGTCAATCAGATGACAAAATACTGTTTTGATTCCTGATTTTCCGAATACCGTATATAATAGTGCTAATTTCGAAAAAAAAATATTTGGGTGATAGTGTTGATAAACTAAATCATTTTCTTACTCAGAAAAAAACATACCCCCCTTTTGAAGCTATATGGTCGGTCCGTAAATGTTTTGTTTTTTTTCAATATATGGACATGAATAGTATTCTGGACAATGCTGAAAGTAAAGAAATGCTGGTACCGACGTTTATATTTCAATAAAAAAGACAGGAAATATATATAAAAAAATCAAATCTAATCAAAAGATAAAATCCCTATCAACTCACCAATGCACGATTGATCCTATTAATAAAAAGTGTCCGTGTAATACATGTTCAAATAGGCAGCAAATCTTGAAGAAAATCATTCAACTTATGTCACCAATTTTGGTCGGTAAGCTGCGATTGGATCATATTGTGACACGTGTTTGATCCTGGCCAACACTATTAGAGACATATATAAAAACCTATAAGCATAATTTAAAAAAAAAATCCAAAATATATGCCTATATATGGGTGATTTTAACAAGACAAAATCGATTTTTTCGTACCATTTCATTCACTAATGAAATAGGAAATTAATTCTTTTTATATTGTTATCGAATTTATATATTTGGGAGCAAACGTACGATTTTTATTATTTTTTAAGGCGGAATGGGGGAATGGAATGACACATCCCGCATGTTTTCAACAAAAAAGAATCAAACCTGTTTATTTTAAATTTATTTTAACCCCCCCCTTTTCCGTTTTCCCCCAAATAAAGAACAAATGTTAGCTTGCTTACCTCTGAAATCTTTTTCATACATTACTTACTTGCGAAGATGCATTTTTAAAAGTCTCAAATGTGTACGACATTCATCTTTTACTCGACATGGTTCTTTTTTATGAAATTATTAGATTTTTGAATTTCTTTAGAAAAAAACTATAGGCTGAAGGGAAGTGAAAAAAAAGTTTGTTTAAACTGTCTTACTGTAACTTACATTAACTTGTATATTGCCATTTAAGTTTCGAATCTGTTAAATTCTTATACCTCTTCTACATGCAAAATGTACTACTTCTTTCTTGAAACGTCGTACAAGTCAGATACAAAACAAAGGTAACAAAAAACAGGCCGGAAACAAACTGCCGAATAGTTTTTCTGCACTCGTAGTCAGGTCAAGGTCCTCGGCTATCGCCTCGGACCTTCACCTGACTACTCGTGCAGAAAAACTATCCGGCAACGGTTGTTACCGGCCTGTTTCTTTGTTACCTTTGTATTGTATCTAATACATAGACTATCAAATTTAGCACATATTTACAACTCGAGTAATCTTTTAATTGGTCTATTGATAGTTTATTTTGGCTGACTACTTGTATCACAGGTGTTTGTAAAAAGGAGGTCATTAACAAAGTTTTGTAAATCTACTCACTAGTATTATTGTAAAATATGTGATTTCAAAAGGCCCTTCACTCCAGAATGAAAAGATGGTAGCTGCTGGTGTAAGTATGTATACTGATATAAAGCGGTGTTTTACTATACATGTACAATAATTAAATTGCAGTGGAAGCTTTACATGTTTTGAAAACATTTTTTTAATTTCACAGTAAAACTAAAGCTATAATAAATTTGAAACATAGAGATAGTTTGTCCCCATAGATATAGTCTAGCAGATAGGCATTGTGGCACCGTTAAAGTCCACAATTCCGCTCAAGTCCACAACACCACTAAAATCCACAACAATTTTCCGCTAAAGTCCACAACGCCGTTAAAGTCCACAAACTTTCCGCTAATGTCCACAAAATGACCTCCGCTAAAGCCCACAAAAAAACACCGTTAAAGTCCACAATAACAAGTTCCGCTAAAGTCCACAAAAAAGCACCGTTAAAGTCCACACATTTTTTTTTATTATCAAAAGATCAATTCGCTTTTGTTTACTCCCGATAGTATATATAGATCTAATAAAAAGCATGGACTTTTGTTCTTGGGAAGTATTTCTTATCAGCTTGAATTATATTTTTGATAAATGAAAAGATTATAGTATATCTACTTTTGATCCCCATAAATTTGATCTTTGTATTGCGATTTTCTATCAATCAAACAGACAACATTTCTGAAAAGTTATCTAGCTATGGTGCTCTTTTTATTCTTTAGTAAACATTAAATTTTGTTAACAAGAAACTACAACATAGCGTTCTCTTTATGTATATGCTGGAGACACTGACATAATTTGGAGCCTATATTTAACATTTAAATTTCCTTTGCAAATATCTATAAAACATAAGAATGATTTCCATTCAGTGTCTGTTAGGCTCCACAGCAGCCAAAACGGTCCGTAAATCTCAAAAATAGACTTTGAACCATAATGTTCTTGTTTGAAATCAAAATAATGATAAAGAATTCCACACATTCATGCATTTTGTGGTGCTCAGCAGATTTTCATCACTCATTGGTTTGCATGTTTGTTTTGTTTTCAAAAAGGAAAATGTATTTGTTTCAGAATGAAAGATGAATTTGAATAAATTATACGCGGATGTGGTTCTGTATTGTGTATTACCCATGATGAGTACAAGTATAAAAGATTTTATTTCAACAATGCTACATGTATATATGTTCCAGACAATATGAGTATTTGGACCGTATAAGTATACTCGAACGTATGCTCGTACCGTATGAGTATACTCGTACGGTCTAGTACGAGCTCAACCATACACGTGCATTTGTCAAATTTACCAAGAGTCAAAAAATAAAATTAAAACTTTAACTAAATACAAAAGTGACGCTACATTGTAACTTTATGAGTTAATCTCCTGTATTAAGTATGAAATTGAGTTCAAATGCTCATTGAAATTGAAGTTATTGGAAGTACATACATGTATATTTTGGAAGATAAGTTTTAGAACATTTAGGAACGTTACTTCAAAAACCGTCAAGCCAGAAAAATTTAATAATCAGAAGGATTTGTGACCTACAATTTGTTGTTATATATATCATGAAAATTTACGTTTTTTTCATAAAAAATATTAAGGGACTATTTCATGT